TGGCCGCGGACCACGTGGAACGGGCGGAAAAATGGCCGCGGACCACGTGGAACGGGCGGAAAATGGCTCGTAAGTTGAGGCGAGTTTGTAAGTAGAGGGAATTTTTGGGGGCCGGGGCTGATCGTATCTTGAAAATTTCATAAGTAGGGGCGTTCGTAAGTAGCGGTACCACTGTACTTATATAGTACTATACAAGAATACTGTTCCAGCTTATGTACGAATTCGACTTACGGACAGACCTTGGGAATGGAACTTGTTCTTAAACTGAGGACTCCTTGTAATATAAGTAAGGTGATGGACTACACCTTATGTTCTCCCAGCTTCGAGTCCATCACCTTCACTGCTAGACCAAAGGGACACAGCAGCACCTGTTGTTTCTAACCTTCTCTAGATATGCAGATCCTCCGGACCGTCTTTGCTGTCTTTGGGAAAGGATGTTTGGGAGCATCTTTCAACTGTGTCTTCTTATACACTGGAGAACTCTACCCTACAGTGATCAGGTACCACTCAGCGATATCCCAGGAGGATGTTAGAAACAGCCCCAAAGGTCCGACTGCCTCTGAAAATATGGAGGGGGACTTTTGCTGCAGTATAACCATGGGATTAAAGGGAGGGAAATCTCTCAAATCCTCTCTGTCCAAGCAGGCTATACTACAACTCCCAAGTGCCCTGGGTGAAGGGGTGCTGGGAGTTGTAGTTCAGCCACACCCAGGGAGCTGAGTTCTCCCTACGCTGCTGTCAGCCTTACTAGGTGGACCAGACAGGAAATACGACCAGATGAGCTAATTCTACTTTATAGTAAGGATACATTGACAAAAACTTGTAAGTCTGAAAGTACAAATCTCCCGCCATCTCCTTTACAGCCTGAGATGTTAGGGAAGTTCCTTTCTGAGCCTCTTACCCCATCCATTATACAGCTGAGGGCTATGCCCTCTCTTATCTGACCGTTCCCTAGGCAGCATCTCTTCGCCCCGTCTCCCAAGGTCTTTCCCACATCCCATTATATCTGCTTTGCCATTATGGCAAAGGGTTAGGTAAAACTTAATTCTTCCCTCTGTTGCACGTCAGGCAAACCGGGATGGGCCTTGGTAACACCATGGCACGTGTTGGGGGCATCGTGGCCCCCTTGGTGAGGATGAGCAGTGAGTATTCCCCATCCCTTCCCCTTTTCATCTATGCCATGGCCCCCATCATCTCCGGGGTGGCAGCCTGTTTTCTTCCTGAGACCTTAGATGCACCGCTACCGGATACAATCGAAGACGTGGAGAGCAGGTCAGTCGCCAATGAATCCTGCTATTCCCCTTGTTGTTTCTTAATCGCATCTAGCAAATTCTTCGTAGATCAGGATGGTGGGAGGGGAGATGGAAATGGGAAGGAACTGACTGGGGAGACATTTGGGGTCAAGCTTATTGAAAGCCACATTTTTGAATCAATAACCCAGGAGCAATAATTGGTCCTTTTTCTAGTTTAATGCAGTGGACGGTCTAATTTCAAAAGCCTTCTGGTGAGGGGTAATTCAGAAAACTCTATTCTCAAGGGCTCCTGGTAGTTGTGATTTCCCGTGTTCTCATCCCATACTTCGCCAGGATCCCATTTAGGAGCTGTAGGTTTGCCCCCAAAGAATCATGGTAAAATTGTGATTTCACATAATTCCCAGGGTGCTAAGGGTCCTGGGGATGCTAGTCACTAAGATTTCCCATAGGTCCCTTTCAATGACATGTGGGCGAGTCTGAATTGAAACTAGATCTGGTATAGTGGCTAGTTCATATTTTGTATTACTCTGCCATAATGTAAGCAGGCCAAGTGGATCCCTTGAATTGCCCCATTTGACGATCCGCTGCATTTAAAATTTCCTTCCTCTTTTAATAAGCCCACTGCGGATATTATTACTGAAACGGTTGCATCCTGTTCCACCCCTCCTGATTTTGTCCTGTCTTAGGAACATGGAGGAACGGAAGAGGGAAAGCGGCAGAAAAGGCGAGGTCTGTCATCGAGGCATAGTTCTCCTGGATATGAGAGAAATCAAAGAGACAGAAAAGGATTCCAGGCTACCGGAAAACACAGAAAATAGAGACACAGCTAGGAGGAGCTGAGACGGAAGTTTGCTCTGACATCACCAAAGGAGCCATCGCGATTTCCAATGGGTTATGATAATACAGTGGTACCTCGCTTTACGAACGCCTCTGTTAACGAACTTTTCGGGTTACGACCAGCTCCGGCCACAAAAATTTACCTCGGTTTGTGAACTCCACCTCGGGGTACGAACAGGAT